CTGAGGTTGGATATTTATTTTGTGAGTTTTGGAGGGGAAAGGGAAGAGGGAGGGAGAAGGGGGACAAGGAGAGAGAGGCAGAGAGAGAAAGAGAAACAGAGATGGGGGAGAAGAGAGGAGAAGCTACCTCTTTGGGAGAGAGACAGTAAAAAAAAGGAGCTCAGGCTGGAAGTGGAAGGAAGATCCCCTTGCCTCAGCAGATGGGAGAGGAAGTGGGCGGGGCTTGTCTCTTAAATGGACAGGACAGACCATTACACCTCCCTCCTCCCTTCTCCTTTCTTCTTTTCCAAGACATATTCTCATCGTGTATCCCTGACTGGCCTGGAACTCACTATGTAGACCAGGCTGACCTCAAATTCATGAAGATCCACCTGCCTCTGCCTCCTGAGTGCTAAGATTAAAGTTGTATGCCGCCATGTCTGGTTATTAGCTTTTTTCTGTATGGAGGATGATCTGAGTCAGGATTATTTCAAACCATCAAGAAAATAAACTGACTAAGGAATTAGAGTTTTAAGACAGAGTACAAAAATGATCCAAACTGTATTCCAGTAAAATTCATTCAAAGGTACAAAAAGTGAAAAGGTAATTTTAAACTGATAGCTTTTACTGCAGTTCTGCCATCAGGATTCTTGCTGTACCATGGCATTTTGGTTGTCTAGATTGCAAGGGCAAGGGTCAAATATAGACTTACTCCACTCTCCCCTCCAGCATCTGGACAGATTTATCCTGCTTTGGACTCTACTCAAAGCTAGCAGCTTTCTAGTTTCCTTTATGACTGTGCCAGAGCGGTATGTTCAAATGTGTTTTATTCCACTTTCAAAACAGGCTGGCAGGATGCTTGGTTGTCCTCTGAAGAGACAGATGAGGTTCCGTAAATCCTCTCTGGCCACCGGAGGAATAATCCACTGCATCTCTTTGACCTTGTGGACTTTACTGGCAAGCACATTGTTTCATAAGATTTGGTGCTGAGTTCTGCAAAGTACAGGCATTTAATGTACTCCATTCGTGGCTCTTCTGCTCTAATCTAATGCTTTGCCATCATCTACATGATGATTGTGAGGTGTTCACATATTCAGAATCTCTGTGGAGTGGAGGACACATGGAGAAAGAATATTCTAATTGAAACAGGACAGTAGAGGTGTAGCTGGTCTTGCCAAGTGGAACAACTTGTTAATTTTTGTTATCTCAGTGTTGTTGTGAAGGAAAAGCACTTGCTAACTGGTGCAGCATATCAAATGCCAGGGCATCTCAATTTTCTCAAGAAGGAGCTTCCATCTGGAGTGGCAACTGTAGTTGAGATCATCTAATTAAGTTTATAATAATCTGCCACGGCTCTTCTTTCTTTTTATTTTAATTTTTTGCCATGCTTTTCAAATCTATTAGCTTTTGCAGTGGCAAAACTAGTGAAAGCATTTACTAAGCATGTAGTTCTCAAGTTTCTGTTCTCTTTTGAGATGGCTTGCTGAAGAAATGAAGCTTTGCCTGTTTGTAACTAACTCCTCCTAAATCAGGTTAGCCACTGCTGAGAAATTTGAAGTTTGGAGTCTACCCGGTGTTGAAAGAACACATTCTAATTATAATCTCAATGATTGGAAAAATAACACCAATACAATTTCTTAGGTTTGTTTTTAGACGTTTGATGTTTTCTGGTGTTATTAAGTATGGGATTGCTTTAAAATTTTACTTTCTAATTGTCCTTCACATGTGTGCAGAAATTCAGTTGCCTTTTTCCTTACTGACCCCTTACGCTGAGGCCTTGTTGAATTTACTTACTGTAACAAGTCCTCTCTATCCCTACTTTTCTCTTGTTTTGTTTTTTGTTTTGTTTTATGTCATGATAGTTACCTAAAAGAGCTGACAGTTTTATTTATTTCCAATTATTTTCTACCTTCTTTAACCTGTCTTATTGCATTGACTAGGAAGACCCTCCAGTGCACTGTTGAGTAGAATTAGTGAAGCAGGTACCTTGTGTCATTCCTGAGCTCAGAGGTAAAAGCCAAGATGTGGGCTCTGGGTTCACTGCTGCTGGACAGTGACTTTCTCATATCTCAGTGGAAAACCTTAAAATGTTAGTTGCATGGCCGTGTATGTAAGCATATATTGTGTTAACTGAGTACATATCTTAATTAGGGTTTCTATTGCTGTGATAAACTACCATGACCAAAAGAAGCTTGGGGAGGAAAGGGTTTATTTCATCTTACAGCTGGATGATGTTCTCTATCACCAGGGAAGTCAGGACAGGAACTCAAGCCAGGCAGGAGCCTGGACACAGGAGCTGATGCAGAGGTCGTGGAGGAGTTCTACCTCCTGGCCTGCTCAGCCAATTTCTTATGGCACCCAAGACCACCAACACATGCTTGCTATGAGCTGCCCCCTCCCACATCAGTACTCCATCAAGAAAATGCACACAGGCTTGCCTACAGACCAGTCTAATTGGGGTGTTTTTCTCAATTGAAATTTTCTCCTCTCAGATGACTCTAGCTTATGTCAAGTCAACATAAAACTAGCTGGAACAATATATATGCATTTCTCCCTAATTATTATTCAGCTCATAAGAGTCATCTCTAGCCTTTCTCCTTTCCATATTGTAACTCTTTTATCTTACATAAAAGAGCTGACTATATTCACCTGGAGTTTTGCTCTTTGATCATAAGGCTGTACACAGGCTTTCTCCTGGCTCCACGCCTCTGTTTATTTCCCACTTTTAGATGGCCCTCAACATGGACTCCAGTGGACGCTCATCATCCACCATGCAGACGGATGTTGCTCTTCTGCACTTCAGCACCATGGTCAGGACTTTCTCAGCAAAGTGGCCTTGTGTGCACCACTCCCTGCACACCTTCCCCAGTCTTCTTCCCGTGGTCTGTCGGTGCAATACACACTTTGCCCTGCGCGTGTGAATGCCTGTAGGAGTTGAAGTCCTGACATTAATAACTTACATTACCAGTTTTTCTAACTAGTCTGTTCTAATAATTTATCAATTTTATTTCTGTTTTTTAATGAATTATATTTTCATTTACTAAAGCTTTCTGATCAATACATGTTTTTAAATTTACTTTTTCTGTTCATTATTTTATCTTTTCTATTTTCAGTTTCTATCTTTTTTATTTTATTTTTGTTTTTTTTTTCTTGAAGTTACCACACATATCCTAAAATTGCACTTAAACCTGGGGAATTCTTGATTTACTATATGTCAGTGGATATAAAAGTATTAAATAATTTAATCAATTGATAGATGAAGTACAAGAATGAGGAAAGTGTCATTTAATGTGTTAAACTTACCACTGAGGCTGCATTTGTAGCTTATCTATAGAAAATGAAGCTATCATGTTTACCTTCGTGTTTTGTCTTCCTTGGTCATCAAAGTTGGGGATAATATTTCTGATACCCCAACGTTCCTGTGTTTCCTTTTTATTGTCTGCTTTTAGGTTTGTTTGTTTTCGGGAGGTTGCTGTTATTGTTTGCTTTGTTTCTCGTTTTTCCTTCTCTATCTTCAGATTTTATTCTCATGCTTGTGACTTCTCAGTCCTAAGGTGGCCACTGAACCTCAAGCAAAAGGAAGGAGGACAGAGATGCCAATTGAGTGTCCCTGCTTTTATCAGGGAAGCCAAAGCATTCCTGGCATCCAGGCTAAACCCTGCCCTTGCGCCCACTGGCAGGGGACTGCTGGGAGGACAGGGCTCCATGTGTGGACTCTGCCATCTGCTTGTCTCAGTTTCTTGACTGCCACATGGCTCAGTTATTAATACGTCCTCTCGGGTAGCTTCAGGTGTATCATTTTGATAACTTTTTAAAGTTTGTACTAGACTCAGAAGGTAAGGTGTTTTATTTAAAATTAGGGCCTTTGATCAACTATGTAAATTTATAATTAAGGAATTAATATTTTTCGTTTGAATGAGGGCTTTGGTATCTTTTTAAATGAGGCCTTTAATTTTTATGTAAAATTTAAGAAAGAGCTGTGTTGAGTTTTTGAACTGACCCCAAAGTAATTTTATCTTAAACTACCTTTTTCAGAGCTCCTTTTGTAGGAACATTGTTTAACTTTAATATTCAACACTGAATTCGGGCTCTATCTACCTAGTCTTGTCTACTTAAATTGTAAGCAGAGCCAGCATGTCTACAGTCCATACAGTTTTATGACCTCCTCCTGGTCTATGTGTATGATGACAGTGTCTGCAGGCACCAGAGCATCTAGCCTTAGTGGAGTGTGGAGTGCTCAATAACCATTATTAGAAGATAGATAAGAGTTAGAAGGGTTTAATTTCTTAGAAAGAAAATGGAAAGTTGCTATATTTTTAAAACAAAGTTTATTAGGTTATTTAAAAAGTTTTATATTATATGTGAATCCCTTATCCCTCCTTCATCCCAACCATTCATAGACATGTTTACTCTCCATTGCAGGGCGAGAGAGATTATTGAAGCAAAAGTTTTAAAAGATAATTTAAGAGAAGGTGGAGATGTGGCTTCGTATCCTTGCTGGAAGTGATTCTTCCTGTGGGCCAGGAAGAGCTCTGGGCACTCAGGTAGACTCAGAGATGGCAAGCAGGGACTGAACATGGCTCCTTTAGTCTCTAAAATCAATTAGATGTAGAAAAATGCTAAGCTGAATGTTGACTGGAATTCATCCCCATAACTGAGAAAGTAATAGAATTCTTATGTTTTACATACCATACTTGTATGGCCTCATGACAGGTTACCAATTACAAGGAAATTGGTGACGTACAAATGGCATTGGGAATGTCTGGGAGAGGATCGAGTAGACAGACAGTTGGGGTCATTTTTGTCTGTGTGGTTTTTAACAGCGAATGGCTTTAATGTTCCTGATCCTTCCGGGTGAGAGGAACGTCACTTTATTTCTGTGCCTGGTCCGAGGAAAGAGAAAACTCATTTAGGATCTTAACAGTTGTGCTGTTGGGCTTTTGCTTTACTTTTTAAAGTTATTTACTGTTCTTGTGGACTGACAGTGATGGAAACAGTGACCACACTCTTGTCCTTGGTAGGAAACTGCATTCAGAGAATGAGGAGGACACCTCCACTGGATGAGCTGCAGCCACCACCTTACCAGGACGACAGCGGTTCACCGCACCTCTCATGCACGCCCTCTGAGATCGGGGATGGCAAGTGTGAGATTTCCCGCTGCAGCAACAGCCCACGCTGCTCCTTCAACAAGTGCCCCAGCGAAGGAAGCACAGGGCACGAGGCAGAGAGCTTTCACAATAAAGGCTATGAAGATGATGTCCCTAGCGACAGCACCGCCGTCCTCAGCCCCGAAGTAAGCAGAAGCATCCTGCAGCGTCCAGGGAGCGTGCTCTGGAGACTAAGGGCCTTGTACTTCCCCTCAGCCCCATAGCTTCTCACTCCACTGTCAAACCTTCACCTGACACGTTCACTAAGGCTGCCACAGCCTAGATATCCCACACCTTCTCATAACAGAGGTGGGAACTAGGCATGGTTGTTGTGTCTTAAATATTTTACATAGAATGTTCTGGAATGATTTACCTTTTTGCTTATATTTCATGCTTTTTATTATTTTATTTTGTTTTAATTTGCTATTTTTGGTCTTTTATTAAGATTTTATTCAGTGTTTTATAAGCCTTTAAAGTTAATCTTACTGTATTTTCATTTCATAGAGTATGAGAAGAATAAATGCTGGTTAACTTTATGGGTGAAATTTCACAATTTCCTAAATTTAGGGTGACTGACTGCTTTTGTTATTTTTCTCGAGTGGAAAAAAAAGAGAAAATGGTGACAAAATAATTGTAGTTTCAAAGTCTTTTTGTAATCCATAAAGAATTTGTCTCATTCATTCTTAGGATGAAGACTAAGGTATCCCAAGCCTCACATGCAGCAATTATCTGTAGGAGTTGCTTTCTTTCACAAGTTTTACATTGCAAGGCCCTTCAGCTTTCACCCCATCAGCGTTATCCCTCTGACATGGTCTGTGCTGTCTAAATAGTGTAGGTAGTTTTCTAATACACAGTATGATTAAACTATAGACAGAATTTGTTCAGTTTGGGGTTTCCTCCTATAATTTAAAAACACTGTAACTACTATTCTGGTAGCTTTAGTATTGTCACACAGTATCTGACCTAGAAGGAACTGCTGAATTGGAACTTTAACCTTTCATGTGTCATGATGCCACCAGTTTTCCTTGTGTGCTGTCACCTAAACATATTTGAGAACTTCATGTTTTGCAAACTATGTAGGTAGCCACTGACTTAGCAGTGACCCTGGATATAATGGTGACCACAGTAGTATCTATGACACCTAGACAGCATGTTCATTGTTCACAGTCACTGCTTCAGGAAGTAAAAAAATGCTAGTTTCAGAGAGCAGGCAGCTCTGTTTTTCCAGGTCCCTGTGTGTGCAGAAAAGGAGTTAGTAGCAGCTACCTTACTCTGTACATTCTTGTTGACTAGAGTTGTTGTCTGAGGATTTCTTTGTTATAATAGTGCCATCTGGACAGAGGCAAACTGTCCCAGAGACCTTAATCACCAAAGTAACATTTTCAAATGCAACCAGATGCTTAAGTGTATGTGTGTATATTTTCCTCCACTTCAGATGCAAAGCAGAAATTAAGCAAATGAAGGTAAAATAGATTAACACAACTTACCACAGGATGTCAGAGCAGATAGGTGGCGAGCCCACACCGGCCTGTTTGGGCCTGTGTATTCTTCTCAGCATCCACAGTTCTGTTTATCACCCGATAGCAAGGACCGGCACTCAGATTTGAAAAGAAGCACCCACAACTGTTAGCAAGCTCTCATTTATGGGAGAGAGAAAAAACATACCTGTTTACCCCTAGAACTTGCCAATTAGAGAAACTTGCTACCTGAGAAACGGGTTTTTCCCTATATTTCATAAGTAGAGCCTATGGGTGATAAAAATCCTTGGCTCACAGTCAGCATGGCAAGGCATGGATTTTCCATCTCTTTGTGAGCCTCGTATCCACTTGCTCCATCACGCTTTCTTTGTAGCCCATGGATTGCTGACATTTCTTCTATGTTGCTACTACCTTAGGACTTCTTTCTGCGCGTGTCTCTCAAGCTGCTTGCTTATCTTATTAACCACTGCTGTGTGTGTTTCAGAAGCTGTGTGCTTGCTGTGCTAACACTGTGCAGTTTCTCCCATGCTTGTGTCTTTTATCGCACCCAAATATATTCATATAGTACATCAAATACACATTACATGAGTGTTTAGATGTGGAATGTTTTATAGCACCCCTGAATACATTCATACAGTACATCTAGTATATACTACATAAATGTTTAGATGTGGAATATTGGATAGCCTAGGCCACTATAAAATTTGTATTTTTTCAAATTTATTTTACATTCTTGTGATATCTATCCTGCATCAGAGGAACCATATAACAGGTTCATCAACTAGCTCTATTGAAGACTTCCTGTAACTAATGGTGCCCAGCACCCTGATAGGGAAAGATTTTTTTTTCATAGTGCTTCTTTTAAGAATGTGAATAATAGCTTTGGTATGTAAGGTTCCACCTGTATTTTAAGGACTGTTAGAATGTCAGAAGCAAAATTTCTGGAAATTTAGGACTTCATAAAGTGTTTATTTTCTGAAAACCCTTGTTTTCAAACATGATACTATTTTTAAAACATTAAATTGAAATACCAAAGAGACATTGGTAATTGCAGGCCAAGGCTGCTTGTTCATTTTCTGGCTGTCCAGACCCAAAATAACCACACAGAAACTATACTAATTACAATACTGTTTGGCCAATAGCTTAAGCATATTCCTAGCTAGCTCTTACATCTTACTCCATTCCTGTTATTCTGTGTGTTACTACGAGGTTCGTGTTTACTGTTTAGGTTCCAGGGCATCTGTCTGCTTTGGTGGCTGCATGGCATCTCCTTGACTCTGCCTACTGTCTTTCTCTACATCTCTGTTCGCATTTTCTGCCTGGCTTTACTTTGTTAAGCCATTGGCCGAAAGCAGCTTCTTTATTATTATTATTAGCAGCATTATTAACCAATGGCATTAAAACATATTCACAGCATATGAAGGGGAACCCCACATCAGGTAATCTATATTAACAATTATGAAATGGGTTTGTATTTCTAGCACCCACTTAAAGCTGTTCATGGCGACCTGTGTCTGCAACCACATTGCTAAGGACAGAGAAAGGAAGCTTACTGAGCTTGCTGACCAGCCAGCTTAGTCACACACTGACAGTCTCTGGGCTCACTGGAGGATGGTGGAGCAGCCCTCTGACATCCTCCTCTGGCATGTGTGTGAGTGTGTACTGGAGTGCATGCATCAAACACAGGCAGCACACACAAACACGTTAACGTATTTCAAATACATCAGCATACACATAAGCAATCAATTTAAGGAATGTCTTCTACAAAAGTTTTTCCTGTTTTCCACATGTGATATCAAGGACTTCGTATACTTACAGCATCAGAGGCTCCTGTCTTTTTGTTGTTTTCTGCTTAAAAAGAGTCTTCTATCCCAAGCTAACAGAGGGCTTAGAACACAGTGCTAAGCTGACTGAAAGACTCAGGAGCTTGTTTCTCTTTCATTCAACCAGATAAGTAAGACTTTGCATAATTTTTTTGCTTTATTCAAAATTCATAATATTTTTGCTTTATTCAGGGCCAGTTTTTTTATGTGAACCACCATTTCCTAGAGCCCTGTCTTTATTCTTTTGGTCCAAACTGATCCCACACACTACCTGTATGCCTGCTTGTGGAAAGAGAATGGGAAGCAAGCATTTCCATTGCAAGGTTAAGACAGATATTTATCATAGGAGCTCTGTGTGCCTCCATCTGCCCAAGTTGTGCCGTAAGCACATCCAAGAGAACCTTCTGGGTGGGGCATCCTTTGAGCTAATAGGAGAAGGAAGACCATGGTCAGCATTGTTCGGTGCTACAGTAGCAATGAATCCAAGGTCTTATTCAATATTTGAAGAGTCAAAGTATGTGGCTCAAAGGTCAAAAACCTGGTTCCAGCTTTGTCAGTCACTAGATAAGATCTCGCAAGCAGTTAGACAGTCGATGGTAAAATGGTCTCTGTTTCTGATTGTGCCATAAGTAACATGTGCAGGTTTAGCCTTTCTTCAGTTTTTGAAATGTGTATTTTGTCATGTCTTTGGCAATTAATGTGGAGACAAATACAGTTGTTTTGAATTCTGGTTGGAAACTGTAATAAGCATGGCCTTGATATGGAGAGTGACTGTCTGGATGCCAATGTCTTGAGCCCTTTGCATTTCTAGTCAGGTTTCCCATTCTATTGACTTAAGTTTTACTGTATGTATTCTGTTTTAGACGGAATCATCTTAAACATCCCTGAGAGTAGAGCCACATCATTCTGTAGCATAGAACTTTGCTCTTCTTTGCGGGCTCCTCCGTCAGGAGCAAAGACATGGCACTGACATGCCCATTGAACTCTAGTTTATACAAATATACATCAAAACTGTGGTAGTGAATAGTGCACTCAAAAGTTGTCTTCTTTGTGTAATCTTTTACCACTTAAACCACAGCGCCTGTCAGTGACTGTGGCCAGTAGCTAGTGGAGCTTAAACTTTCACCATGGCAGCAAATGAAAAGTGTTAATGTTCTAAGAGAAGTTGGCTTTTATTTATGTCTAGACTAAGTATTAGGGTTAAAAACTAAAAACATTTAAATTTGCTTTTCTTAGGACATGTCAGCCCAAGGATCCTCCTCACAGCTTCCTAAACCTTTTGATCCAGAGCCAGAAGCTAAATATGGCACACTGGATGTGACTTTTGACTATGATTCACAAAGACAGAAGCTTCTGGTGACGGTGACAGCTGTCACAGACATTCCAACGTATAACAGGACAGGTGGCAACTCGTGGCAGGTGCATCTTGTTCTTCTACCTATAAAGAAACAGAGAGCCAAAACCAGCATCCAGAGAGGACCATGCCCTGTCTTCACAGAAACATTCAAATTTAACCACGTTGAGTCAGAGATGATCGGAAACTATGCAGTTAGGTTTAGACTGTATGGTGTCCATCGTATGAAGAAAGAAAAGATTGTGGGGGAAAAGATTTTTTATTTAACAAAGTTGAATCTTCAAGGGAAAATGTCATTACCGGTGATACTGGAGCCTTCCTACAACCCTTCTGTGAGTATCGCATCCAATGACCCCAGTGCAGTTTCTGTGTATGTCGCATAACACAAGAAGCAGGAGACGTTTGTGACAGCCTCCTGCTCCCACACATCTGTCTGCGCCCTTCTGTCTGCTGTCAGTTTACCTCATGGGCTTTGCTTGTCCCAAGCTCTCATGCAGGCCTTTGCATTTGTTCCTGCATTATGTGGTTGATTGTACATTGTCCAGACTCACTAGAGAAGTTACCCTTTTCCTTCCAGGTTAAAGTAGACAGCGCAGGAGGAACTGTCTAGTCAAAGAACAAGTCCTTATTATATTTTTCATCCTTTTTGAGAAAAGACTGAAGTATTTCTCAGTGAAAATTTATGACCTCAAACTTTTAAATTTTTTTAAATCACACACTATTTATCTCTATATATATTTTTCGCAAAATTCCCACAAGGCATTCCAGATTACAGAAGAGTAATGACTACATTGTTTATTTAAACCAGGGAGGTGCATTATGTCACATAGTTAATTCTGTATGAGAAAATCTGTGACTTGGGTAAGTGTAAATTATGACTTATATTTATTTACTCCTTTCTGTGCTATATTGGAGAAGCATTTTATAATGTAAATATGCAGACTTTAGAATAGATTTAAGTGTTAAGTTGGAGGTCTGGTGTTTCAGTTATTTCTAAGCTTTGACCATGTGAGCCTAGAACCATTGCATTGTACCAGGCAGGATCTGAACCTGCCAGCTTCCATTCACCATGCAGCCAGGCTGCTTCAACCAGGTCCCTGCAGGGTCTTTATAAGGAAAAGACAATGGTAGATGTAGTATGTCTTGTGGATTTCAGTTTTATTGATAGAATTAACACATCATTTAAAATTTTTAGAATAAGCAATTTTGGGGACATGCATTTTAAGACATTTTTGTTCTTGAGAATTTCATGCATGTATACAATAAAATATGATCATATTTTCCCAAATGATCATAATTCCTTCTATGTCTCCCTTAACATATCCCTATCCCAACTGCATGTCTTTTTTTTTTTATTAACCCACTAAGTCCAGGTAGTGTGTCCATATTTGCAAGGGTGTGGGCATCTACTGGAGTGTGGGGCTTCTACCAACAGCCTGCATATTCAGTCTTCTTATTTTCCTTTACAGTTGAGTTGTATTCCACTGTGTAAATGCCTGGTAAAATGAGAGTGCTTTATAAGAAGAAATGAAGGAATATGTAGACAATCTTTTACGGGGTATACATTTTTTAGAAACATGAAATATTCTTCTATTATCAATCCAGCTTTTAAAAATTTTCACTATCTACTATAAATGAGTAGCAGTTTTCTACAGAAAATAGGTTCTTACACAATAACTAAGTTAAATTAGAAAAGAAAGACCGGTATTAAAAACTCTGTGTTTGTATTGCTTTGAAGACTTCATGTGTTCCCAGTTCTATATTAATTGTATTCTTTGCCATAAACAATAGAACAATTTTATCTTTGCTCGGACTAAATGGCTCCTACATTGTGTGTATTGCTCTGTAGTCATGGATTCTGTAATATTTTTGGTCAGGCAGTACAGTGAGTTATGGGCCACTCACAAGAAGGAGAAAGTGCTAGGTAAGTAGCTTCTAATGCATACTACTTACATCTACAGAGAGGCGTCTGTCTTCTGCTCTTAGAAACTTTCCCTTGGTGCCAGTGTGCCTGTCATTCAGTAGCTGCCTTTAATTGCTCTTTAGCCTTGCTTTGCCCTTCCCGCTTTTTCAAAATCTTACAACTCAGCACATTACAGTTTTTAGGCCAATTTATAACACTGTTGTGCGGAATGTAGAAGCACAGTGTTGATATTGCTCGTGTGTTTGTGTGCGCCATGGTACTAGTGCTCTCTCTGCTCAGCTTGTAAAATGAGCTGAGTGGAGAATTTTTGCTATTGTGGTTTACTTGAGAGAGCTTCTCTTTGATTCTGTAAGACTTGTTTATAAGGTGCATCTGTGGAAAAAAGATTACTTCCTTATTTAGTCATTAATTCTGGTAACTTTAGTGATTGTTGATTGTTATTATTGCAATAATATTAGCTTTTCACCAAGGAAGTTTTAGTCCACCCAAATTTACAGATTACTTTTAAAATATGTTTAAAGATTTCAGTTTATTTCATAGATAATAACATAATTCACATATAGTATTTAGTTTCATAGATAGTTTTCCAAGAACTTGTTGAGTCAGAACACAAAAAATTACTTTTTAAGAACTCTGTGATGGTTTTTGCTACTGAAAAGATTAACACAGCACTGAAATGTGGCTGTAGCTTGCATTTGCCTCCTTGACTGTGCACATGGGCAATGTGTTGAAAGTTGAAAGATTTGAGTTCCCTTTTAGCTATGGAAGCTTCCTAAAGGAGTTTGAGCATCAAGTTTCCAGTGGCTAAAATGAAAGGGTTTAGACCAGTGACCTACAGACTGTGTGTGTGTCTGTTATCCTGATTCTGCTAACGTTATGGAAGAAGCTAGGTAAGATCAGAAATGGGATAAACTTTACTACATTTGTGCATTTAATTGTGTGTATTTGTACGTGAGTGGGGGTAGATGAGGTGGGTGCGTATGTGCCACAGTGCACAGTGCATGTGTGAGAGTCTGAGGATGGTTTCTCTCCTTTCTTCATGTGGGTCCTGGAAACCAAACTCAGGGCGTCAGCCTTGGTGACAGGTGCCTTTATCCACTGAACTGGAGATGGGGTAGATGTTAAGTGTTTGCACTATCGTCATTTTCATTGGACATGCACTGCTAGCTAGTTCTTCCATGCCTTTGCAACTTTCTGAAGAAGTCCACCTCCTTTTTAGACACTCTGTAGTATTTAACCAGGCTTCTTTGTGTTCAGAGCAAGGCATTGAGGTCTAGATTTACATTTGATGTTTGTTTTGTAACACAACATAAGTCAGAGAAGTACTGAATGTAGCCCGTGACAAAGGGAATCTTAGCAGATGTTCACGCTCTGTCTTCTCCATACTGTAGACTGCATAGGGCCTTGTCATAATCTAGGAAAATGCCTGTTGAGAAGTTATATTTAATTCTATTCCAGGTAAAGAATAGTTGTGTTCATAAGATAATGTAGATAATAAATTAGTCTTTACATTTCTTGTTTGTTTCAAGAAGATTTAAATTTCTGGCACTGGACATGGATGTGTTCCTGCAAGTCCTTCCTTGTCTTTATCCCATAGATGGATCTCGTGGAGGAAGTGAACAGTCACACGTGTTAGGTCTGCAGCTTCCTCGATGGAAAGGTTGGTCACCCTGACCTCCTTGTGAGCAGTCAGGGCAGGAGTGCCATCCATTCTGGGCACTTTGCACGGCTGTGATGGTGCTGAAGGTGACAAACAGTGCGAGCAGTCCCCTTGTAGCTACTGCAGCTAGGAGTCGCTGTCCTGTGATTAAACAGCATCTCTACTTAGTTCTAACTCAAGTCTAACATTTTTATGCAGATTTATTATACTTATTTTTTCTGGTATTGCTAACCGTTACAAATGTAATAATTATTTTCTTTCTTAGTCCAGAATTTGGGTTTTATTCTAGTGTGTAATTATCTGACACCACATAAACAAATATCTAATGTGTTTAGAAGAGCTGTATGTTCATATTTCTGTAGTATGTCCCCTTCACTTTAAAGGGTCAATGCCATCTGTAGGTTCCATGCCACTTGCTCATCGTGAGTTTTAAAATAGATTTAGACTTTTATAACATGAAAATTTACTCTCTTGAGACATTCTCTTTTAAGTCTTAATTTAAATACTAGGTTTCATAACCAAGCCTTTCCTGAGTAACCCAGCTCTGTCATGTTATCCCAGCTTGTGTGACTGTCAGGGAACTTAGATGGTTAACAATGTGAAAAGTCTTGATGCAAATCAGACAGGGTGGCCAAAGCAAGAAAGATAGTAGTAGTTTGTTTACTATGGCAGCTAAATAGTGACTTTTCTTCTTTCTTTACTTGTCACTGAAATGTTGGTACCATGATTTATCAATGTACATACACACTCTCTTCATTTTTATTCTTACGAGATCAAAGATATCTTGAAAGGGAGATTTACTACTAGGGCTTATAGGTTAAAAAAAATATCCTAAAAGATCCCAGGTAGCAAAACAAATGAGGGATAGAAGGTATCCGATTTCCCATACCAAAGCCAGGCTTCAGGATTGCACTTGTTTCTCTATTACGTGTTTCCTATGTCCTCAGCATGACTCTTTGTTGGGTCTGTTCCAGCTCTGCTGTGGTGACAGTGCTTGAGAAGACAGCTGAAGAACTTCCTTTGAGTAGGAATTTCAGATTTCTCCGCCAGAGCCATCTGAGTGCAGTGTGTGGGCCTGGGCGTGAGGCAAGAGCATTGCAGAGGTTGCTCACCTCGTGGCTGCCAGTCCGCAGAGGAAAAGGTCAGGGAAGGTCTTCCCTTGCCCACCTCCAGTGACCTACATCTTTGTTATCTCCTCCCAGTAAAGCCATCTTAAACATCCATTAAGGAATTGATCCGTTCATTAGATCAGAGTCCTCATGATCCAGTTACTTGCCCAAAGCCCCGATACAAAGCCTATGAAGGGCATTGCCTATTCAAAGCATTTACACCTATTTTGCAGATGCAAAGTAGGCAAATGTAACCTTGGCCCTCCCAACGCTACAGTCACATTGGGTTGCTTGGCACTGAGCCAATCATCCTAGCTCTTTCAGTCTGTTTCCTACACTTAGGAGGAGGCACATGTCGGAGATTCCCTAGAGTTCTAGGAGCTACTCAGATTCTGCAGCTAAACGTGTTTGTGTATAGTTGGCAAGGGAAGAGTAAGGAGGTGCCCTCTTCTCCCTGCTCCAGCAAGTGTAAGGGGAGTTGTCGCCCCATCCCCCGCCCTGCATGCTAGCAGTTGTCCATGTAGTGTGTCTCCCCCACCCCCAACCTGCCACCCCTCGCCCCTCCCCTACACGCTAGCGGGTTTTCTCCCCCCCCCCCCCCCACCGGCGAGCTAGCGGTTGGTCTGGAGCTCCAGTGGT